GTGGGACAGAGGGAAACTTTTGATGATCGCAAAAAGGAATCTACGTAAAGGGATCCTTCGACGATTTGAGAAATCGTTAAGGGTCTGCACTCCATCTGAGGATCGCCGTAAGTTGGCACGCAATATATAGTCTTGAATTCACCATTATCCCTAGATAAAACATTGGTGTCGATCGAATGCTCGTCTGCAATACCGCATAAGTATGGCAATCTCACTAAAATTACATAAAAAGTGCATCGATCGTGTTAAAAGCGTAAATACAGTGATCGTGCTAAAAGTACAAGCAAAAGTACAATATTTTGTATGTGCAAAGTTGTCATAAAATTTACGAGAATATGAAGTAGGTTTCACTAAAATGGAATACATGAACATGTGTAACTTTGTCAGCCTATACACATAAAATATAGAAAAGTTGTGAAACTATACATGTATTAGGAAGCCTCTCGAATTTTTTCTATCGGTGTCTCTGTCATAGACGATTGTTCGCCCATGAGTAGGTGGAGATCCGCAAGTTGTTGTATGGTCGACGATATTTAGCCAAAGCGTCCTGGGGGGGCATCTGATCAATTTGATTTCGGGTGCAATGGATCGGCATATTGTTGGTGGTTTCTTCGAGGGACATTATTGTGCCGAAGAGCATCGCTACACAGATCGTGTTTTATTGATGTCGATCTTCCAGATCGCTATTGATAATGAGGCCAGCTTGGTAGTAAAGATTGGCCCGGAAGTTGAGGTTTACTCTGTCGAATCTGACTTGGCTTAGCCCCCGAGCGGGTATCAACAACTAGATATGGCGACCATGGTGTCGGGAGGTAAAAGACAAGAAGTTAGCGAGCGCCCACCAATTATACAACGATCGCCGTGTTAACTGATTTCAAGACCAGAGGACAAGATCTGTAAGATCTGGCGGTGGATCAACTGAGAGCTTCTTGCCTCTGAGAAATTATTTGTCGGCGTCTCTGTCATAGATCGCCCATTTGCATTAGTAGGTGGTGATCGGCAAGTTGTTCTCCACATAGGATGATATTTAAGCGAAGCGTCCTGGTGGTATCTTTGCACAAATCAATTTGATTTTAAGGTCAACAGGCGATGGATTGGCATATTGTTGGTGGTTTCTCCGTGGCCTACGGAGGGTCGTCACTGCACAGATTAGGTTTTACTGATGTCGGTCTTGCAGGACACCGTTGATAATGGGGCCAGCTTGTGGTCAGCTCAGCTACGGGATGTGACTTGGTATGGCGCAGGTAATAGCAACTCGATATGGCGACTGTGGTGTTAGGCAGTAAACGACAAGAAGTTCGCAAGCGCCCGCCAATTATACGGCGATCGCCGAGTTGACTTATTTCAAGACGTGAGGACAAGATCTGGCGGTGGATCAACTAAGAGCTTCTTGCCATACTTGCCCCCACTAGGTCCCGACTATCTAGGAAGTCGGTCCTAATTTAGATCTCACCTTTGACGTTCTTGTCTAGGGTGAGCTAATCGATTTGTATTCTTGTCACTGGGCTACGATGAAATTTGGCCACAATATAAAGATCTGAAACTTTTGTGATGAGAAAACGCAAAAAGATGGTATTTGGACACCTTCAGTGGAATTTTCATTTAGGCAAACGGGGTGATCGTAAAAGGAGGGATCAGCTGAGTCGCCCTTTCTTCTGACCGATTTGAATAAGAAAAAGAGGGTCCGCCGAGCAGCCCTTCGCTGGACATGGATTAAGAAAAGTATGATAGAGAGAACCTTAACCAATGAAGGTCTTTTATCAGAGATAGGTTCAGAAGTAATCCTTGATGGTCGCCCTCCTTCTAGCACCATTTAGTTGATGGTCGACCGTCAGCGATTACAGTTGATATTAATGGGGCGGTTAAATAGGGAGTTACAACGTATTTTAAAGGAAAATATAAACAGATCCGCATAAAATAGAAAGTAAATATATAGTAAATAAACGAGACACCGACATTGTCGATCTGCTGAGGAGATCGGAGAAGGTTTTCTCTGGAAAGTTAATTGAGGAAGTGTGTATTACAAGGGGAACTTATAAGAAACGGCGATTCAATGTTGTGTATGTTACTAAGTAGTGTTTTGCCATGCCATGCCCCTTCCCTGTCTTGAAGGGGCTGAATTTATACACAAAAAGGTAAAGATGCAATAAATGCTTTGTGCTACCTAGGGCGTAGGGTAGTTTCGTGTGTATTCATGCAGGAACTCTTCTTTTGAGAATGAGACAACTTCAATTGTATTAGTTCGATGTCCACATGCAAGAGAGATCGCCAATCTTCCAAGGAAAGATATAGAGATGGATCGGCAGGGGTAGGACTGCAAACGAGCCGAGCCGAGTCGAACATTGACCTTATCGAGCAGGATTAGATTTTTTTAACTTCTCGAGCTCGAACTCGTCAAGCTTGATTTATGAGGCTCAAGCTCGACTCGATAAGAAAATACAATAACTCGGGCTCGACTTGAAATCAAAAAGCTCGAGCTCGGCTCGAAAATTTTTAAGTTAAAAAGTAAAATTACCATTAAGCACCTGTGTTATACTATTTAAATTAGGGGTGAGCAAAACCGAGCGGAAACTGAAAAACCGTACCGAACCGAGCTATCGGTGCAGTTCGGTGCGGTTTTTGGTAAGTTCGATTATCGGTGCGGTTTGGGTTTTAAAAAACCACAAGTATTTCGGTGCGGTTAGGTTTTCTGTCCGAATGGTGCTGTTTTAACCGAACCGTACCGAATGTCATAAAATGTCACCTTTTTTTTATTTTTTTAATAAAATATCACCTTAATTTTTATAATTTTACTTACATAACATTAATTGGTGGTTATATTTTTTTAATTTCGGTTAACCGAAAAACCGAACCGCACCGAACCGAAATTTTCGGTTTGGTGCAGTTCGGTTTTTCCTTCTATAGCGGTGCGGTTCGGTGAAAAAAATTTAAAAATTCGGTTTTCGGTTTTTTTTCGGTGCGGTGCGGTTTTTGGCCGAACCGCACCGATGCTCACCCCTATTTTAAATATATATAAGGATATTTTTGTAATTTAAAATATATCTCGAGCCGCTCGACGAGCCACTCGACAATGCAAAATATGGGATCAAGCTTGACTCGAGTTCGTGCTCGAGCCACTCGAGCTCGACTCGAGTTCGGTCAAACTCATCAAGGACATAAAAAGGATACCAATGATTAAGCTCTGATTGTTCGAATCATTCGAAGAACATCTGAAGCTCGCACTTACGAGAATGTTCTTGAAATCTTATTTCAGTGATGCACAATTATGCGTTGTTGTCTCACGTGTGGGTTTGAAAATCTTAATTTGTGAAAAAAAAGACTTGCAAAATACCAAACCAAGAATATTTTGTACAAGGAAATATTCAATAATTGATTTTTCATTTTCATATTTTTCTTTTTTTTTTTGTTTTTTATTTGTTTTTGTTTTATGATGAGTATTTTATTAGAAAAAATTATATTTAATCCAAATTTGAACAACAATTTGGTAACAATACTCCATCGTGCATCGCAAAAGTTGTACTATTTTTACATAAAAGCTAATGAATAAATATAGTCATTGAATCCGATTTCCTGAAGCATCTGACTCGCTTTCTAATTGTGTAAATAAGTCACCTCAGGCGCCTGAGAGCTGACTTGAGATGAGAATAGAATACGTGTTTCATTTTAGTTGATTTGTTAGGTAACAAACTAATTTATTTATAAACCATAGTTTCTATATACCACACAAATTAAAAGATAAAGCAAATAATAATTCTCTACATTGCAATACTAATTGACTAGGTTCATTGTAACTTAATAGTAAAAATATGATTAAACCCTATAAGTACATCCTCGTTCTAAAAAAGGGCACAATATTTCCACTAGCATAGAAAAATCGGGAATGAGATCTCTCGTGCCACTATTTTGTTCTATTTCATACTAGTACAACTCCCGTGTATTACACGGGTGCTTGTTAAAAAATTATTTTTAAATTTTAAAATTAATGAGAAAACTATATTACATTTAGTTTACTTTTTTACAAAAAAAAAATATATTACTATATATTTTAGAATGATATGTGTTACTTATGACTTACATGTGTTATATTATATTAGTTTTTGTAACTTATATCATATAACTACTTGAAATATAAATATATTAGTTGATAAATAATTTTATTTTTCTAATTAATATTAAAAATAATTTTATCATTGTTATAAAGATAAATATAAATTATTTTTTTATACATACAATATGGATCTTAAATCGAAGCTCATCAAAAGAAGATTAATTTGATAATTACATATGTAAAACTGATAAAAAATACAAAAGTTATTAACTTTTAAAATATATATATAATTCAATAGTTATAATAAGGAATGATATTAAAATGCAATTAATACATATAACATGATCATAAATAATCAACATATTTATGGTAATCCGAACCTAATTATTTTTAGTTTGGCATTAAATTATAATTTACGCAAGTCTAATAACGAAGCATGTAATTTTGCCACATAGGATTCCGAAGCACCAGAAACAGCCACGTAACTCAGCGCGTTCTCAGCGCGTTCTGGATTAATATATAGAGGGAATTTTATACCATTGGATAGCTACACAATACATGTCATCTATGTACACGTGTACTCATTGGAATGAAATACCAAATAAAATATAAAAAAGAATAGCACAAGAGATATTGTCACAAACCATAGTCGAGTTAATATATAAACGAATGAAAAAATAAAGCAACAAAGTTCAATTGACATTGATTTCAAAGGTTAGTTTTTTATTATCTGGTGTTCTTTTTTATTTTGGTAATTTTCTTTTTCTATTGTTTTATCATCGATCTATGTTAAATTGTAATTTGTGTTTTTTACACGTTTAATTAACAAATATTACCTTAGTAATGTGTAATCAGTGCCAATTATACTTATAAAATGTGTTGAGTCATCCAAGGCCAAGTAGTCTAATTTATATATGTGGATACATCCTAACTGAATAAGAGAAAAACCAACCTGAGGTATCATGTTTGCCACGGATGTGATAACAGCCGAAATTGAATGTTCCTGGAAGTCAATTTCATGAACATTTTATCAGTAAAAATGCAGTAAATGGGTCTTCCAGCTAATCATTGCATGTATAAACACCTTTACAATGTCCTGTATTCACAAATAGAATAAATAAATACATCACTGGTAACATTTTAAGAATAGATAAAAGAAATCATTTAACGTGTTCGCAAGTCACAACTGGATCAACTTAAACATCCATCCATAAACAAGTATGATCTGAAATCCGTGCAGACATAAACCAATGTAACGAGTAATCTTCCAGGAATCTATTGACACATTAGCATATACAGCAGTCAAACTCATCAGGGCCGACTTACCCTGCAAACAAATTTTGATATAATGTCCAGAGTGTGCAACACCTTTCGTCCTTGCGTCAGCTGACTCCTATAACCATTATATAAACAAAATAAGTCACATCTCACAAGAAACTATACTATTAAAGAGTGAGTAAATTCAGCCAAAGGTCATAGTTAGTATTCCACAAGAATCATAATAACATGGCAATGAAACAACACTATAGATTGTATCGTTAAGACAAAATATGTGCAAGAGCATAAAACACAAAGTAATATTAATCAACTGATAAATGGGGGTTTGGGTAAAGGTAATCTCATAAAGCTAGCTCAAACAAAGAGGGTGTCTGATACAGAAGAACAACCTAGTGACTATATGATGTGGTACAAACATAAACTCCTAACATCAATGAACGCATTTTCTGATGATTTGATACACCATTTCGCCATACTGAACTATGAGTCTACACGGGAACCCATAGTTAGGTTTATACAATGAACCAAAAATGACAGTATCAGGCGTATTTGACTCATAAACTTGTGATATTTAGCTTGAGGCCTAGAGAAAATGATATGAATATAAGAATGCACTTAATGAAGCAGCAGCTGCTGAACGTTTTATTATACAGGCGGCGGGCCATTTAAATTTACCACCAATTAGCATCAAATAACCTTTCGCATGAGTTGTGGTTGGATGACCTTCCTTCACATGATTTTCTATTCCTATTGTCCTTTGTCCAATAAAAGAATCTTTGTTGTCTTAGAGTATCCAAAGGCCATGTCCAAATTGTGTGCTAAAGCTTTTTCAAGCTCACCTACTAATTAAATGAACAAAAATGTCGAAACATTTTTGGATTCACGCTTTAACTTGCTTCATAATTTAATAATATGCCATGTTGAATAATAAAAATAAATAAATAAATTTCAACTACCAAAGGAAAACTTAATTACCTAGAAAGCAGCAGAACAACATTAACTTATGTCAAGCCTTAAACAATTCGTTGTCTAACTCATATTATTATGCTGAAAGAATCCAAACAAGGCATGTAGAGAATGAATTTTTCGTTTGCCGTATGAAGTAGAAAGCAAACCTCCTAAAGGTTCCAGATATTTTTGCACTAAATATGTCAGATGCTGCTGAAATAAACTTGCATTTCCGTACAGTTGAAACTTTGTCAATGTGTTGGATTACCTGAAGGGATCAATAATTAATGTGACTGTGATTGACCAATCATTAAGGCTTGAAATAAGTAGAAACTAGAAGTTGGCACTAAAGGATATTGGACAGCGAGACTAGCAACACCTTCTTTATTTCTTCTTTATCAAAAGGAAGTAAAGCCTTAAACACTCGGCGAAATGGGCCATCATCACAACCAGGCAATGCCGTACTCAACATAGCAATAATGGCTCGGACTACCTGTTATAGGACAACACTTAATGAAAAAAGATGAAATGCAATAAGGATGAACCACGACGTGAGCGGAGCATATGCATAAGATATTCTTCCCCCAACCCAGTGTATATGGGGTGAGCCATAACTTGGGATATTCATAAGCTAGGAAATTACAAGATTTTACCAACGGGTTAGAACAACCAAGCTTAGGAACCACGCGCAATCATCAAGGATTTTAGCACCTTGTTTTCTTTCTTCCAAGGATCCAAACATAAATATATTACCTAATAAAATGCACCTCTAAAGTTGTATATATACTGATAAGACAGATTCTGTGCTCCCCTGAGTTGCTAATTATACTGAACCAGTCAATTCGGTAAACAAGTTTTTCCTCACATGTGCAAGCCTAGTCCACCCATCATAACTAGGGAAGTCATTAAAAGAACAATTTAGAAGCAAATTTCATTACAAGTTAATCTATAATCCATGATCTATAATCTCAATTCTAAACAACACTATATTTCATAAATGGAAAACAAAAAAGAATCATGCTTAGAAAATTAGTAAATGATGGGACATCAGTTGAGTTTCTGCACTAGCTCGTGTCGCTCAACCTTTTCAGGCAACACTACAAAATCTCAATTCTAAACAACACTATATTTCATAAAAGGAAAACAAAAAAGAATCATGCTTAGAAAATTAGTAAATGATGGGACATCAGTAGAGTTTCTGCACTAGCTCGTGTCGCTCAACCTTTTCAGGCAACACTACAAAAATATTGGTTTCTATAATTAATGTTCAATCTCCAACACTAAGCATATTACAAGAAGTAATATGATTGATAATATAGAAGTCTTTCCCCAACACCAAACAAAAAAGGAAATACAAAAAATAAATAAATAATAAAAACCAACATATAGTTTCACAAGCAAAAAAAAAAAAAAAAA